TCACCTCCTGCCAGATAACCTAGACTCTTAGGTCTATATTCTGTTTCTTTTCCGCATTTCTTCTGTGTCATTCCTGTCATTGCAGTCATTGGAAAGCAGTCTTTTCATCTTTGTGACTCACTGCTTCTAAATTCCCATCTGACCTGCTGTGAACTGGTAACTTCAATATCAAGGCATGTTGGTAGAATTCTAGAATGTTAGTAGGACTTCAGGATGGGCTAAGAGGATTGTGAAAGAAACTAAAGATAAGGGCTTTGTATCCGGTAAGGGCTCATTAAGGATATTTGGACCAGATTGTGAATTGATAACGGGGGTAATGGAATCTCTAATTACATAGACCTTCCCTGCTGCTGCCACCATTCCAAAGACAGTTATTTTAACTCACATTTCCTGATTGCCTATTATTAATATATCCTTGGCACTTGGGGTATCAAATAAGATGTAGTGCTTTTTATGCCTGTGGGTGATAGATACTTTTAATGTGACATTAGTAAAACAGATAAGCATACAGGAATAACACTTAAACTAAGGTAGTTTAAATAAAGCACTTACTATATATCAGACACTAAGCACTATTTATGAAGTCATTTAATTATCATGACCCTGGAAACTACATAACTTAGGCACAGTTTATTTTTCAGGGTCACTTGAGGTTTTGTATTTATAGCCATTATGTTTTGTTGCCAATGATGCTTTGAAAAACACTATGAGCTATGAACTTGGGATGTCAGTGAGGGCTTTTTTTTTTTTTTTTTATTTCCCCAGACTCAGAGTCTCACTGTGTTGCCCAGGCTGGAGGGCAGTGGCGTGATCTTGACTCACTGCAACCGCCGCCTCCCAGGTTCAAGCAATTCTTGTGCCTCAGCCTCCCAAGTAGCTAGGATTACAGGCATGTACCAGCACTCCCGGCTAATTTTTGTGTTTTTAGCAGGGGCTGGGTTGCGCCTTGTTGGCCAGGCTGGTCTCAAATTCCTGGGCTCAAGTGATCCTCCTGCCTCGGCCTCTCACAGTGCTGGGATTACAGGCGTGAGCCACCGTGCCCGGCCTCAGTGAGGGCTTTTTGTAGATCTGAATGAACTGAGTTTTAAATTATAAGTAGGATTTGGCCAAGCAAATAAAATAACTTTTTTTTTTTTCCCCAATCTGGTGGAGAGTGAGAATGAACCATGAGCCATGACAAAGAGGCATGGATAGTTCTGATTGGAGGTAAAGGATGGGGCTGGTGGTAGATGGAACACAAACACCTAGAGCATGAAATGTGAGGTGCAGATAATGGAGAGAGACTGGTGGGATAAATGAGGGTCTGCTGGTAGGGGTTTTTTGACATGGTGCTGAGTAGTCCTGCCTTTCCTCTGAAGGCAGGATGAGATTGCTTTTAATCAGGGAAGTGCCTGGTGAGACTGGCACGAGGAGCTGTGACTGGCTGCGGTGTGGAAGGACCCTTGGGAGCATGTGAGGGGCAGAGCCTGCTGCAGTCTCTTACTCCAGGTGCCTTGTGGAATCCACAACCCATTGTATATTGCAGTGGTAATGTATAAGTTGTGTTTACACTAAAAATCTGTTTTATTGGTAATATTTAAGAAATTTTGCTAACCTGGCATTTCAGTTTTGTACCTTCTGTTGTAAAAACTATGACTATCCTGTGAGGACTGGTCTTTCCCCCCCCATCAACTCCTTTAGGGTTGTTGTTTAAACATCTTTAGCCCAAAGAATTAAAAAATGTTGACCAGTTACTGTTGTTTTTCGGTCCTTTCCTAAAAAACAAACCAAAACCAAACCAAAAAAAACCACTTTTTTTTTTTTTCTTTTGCTTAGAAGAAATGTTGGAAATGGAACTGTAAAACTCATTCTTAAAGTACTTGCTTTTTATGATATTTTGAGAAGTACTCAATTCATCATTAGAATTAGTAAGATTATTTTAAACAATTTCACAAGTAGATAGACTTTTAGAAAAAGCCCTACAATACTGAGATCTTAAATATATATTTTGATTTAAGTTGTAAATTATCAAAGTTAATCTTGAATAATAGAGATGTTGTTCTTAGTACTGTTTTCATGGAGAAATACTGTATGGAGGAATTAATTGCCTATCAATATAATAAGACTGTCACTATATTTCCAGTTTGTTTTCTCTAGACCAGTAGTTATTTGTATGAGGATGTTTTACTTTTTGTTTTAATCTTGTAAGGATTGTTCTACTTTTGGTTTAAATATTTATTACTTTTTAGTTTAATTTCTTGGGGATCAGAGAAATATAGCCTTAAATATACATTGAAGTTTTCTTTGTGGTAAAGTATTTTTAAAGTTGATTTTTGGCAGTGTTTCTTGGAAACTTGAAGAGAAGTTACATTCTTTGTAGTGTTCAAAGTATATGCTATTAATTTTTTTTTTTTTTTTTTTTTTTTTTTTTTTTTTTGAGACAGAGTCTCGCTCTGTCGCCCAGGCTGGAGTGTAGTGGCCGGATCTCAGCTCACTGCAAGCTCCGCCTCCCGGGTTTACGCCATTCTCCTGCCTCAGCCTCCCGAGTAGCTGGGACTACAGGTGCCTGCCACCTCATCCGGCTAGTTTTTTGTATTTTTTAGTAGAGACGGGGTTTCACCGGGTTAGCCAGGATGGTCTCGATCTCCTGACCTCGTGATCCGCCCGTCTCGGCCTCCCAAAGTGCTGGGATTACAGGCTTGAGCCACCGCGCCCGGCCTATGCTATTAATTTTAATTACGTTCAAAAAGACTGAGTTAAAATCTATAAATCCATATCATATCAATGACATGTTTTGTTGATGTTCTATGTTATTCAGATCACAGACTCATTTTTACTGAGTCTTTATTGTTAAACATGTCATCAGTAGAAAATTACTGTAATTTATTTTGCCCTAAATTATTCACTATTCATACTGCTTAGGTTTTTTGTTTTAATTCTACTACTCATTGAACTTTTAACCTTTTATTCACAAAGATTTTTTTTTAAAATTTTATTTTCTTTTTTTTACTCTTAATCCCATGACAGTTAAGGATTTATGTATAAATTTTTAATTTTTGTTTTTTACTTCAATATGAAGTTGTTTCATTTATAGGAAAATTTAAACTTTTTATAGTGTAGTTATGCTTGGTCTACTGTCAACAGTTTTTGCCTTTTTTTGCTTATGTGGATTATTTTGTCTTCCTTTTACTTCTGCAGTGACATTGTTGTACAACCATTATCATTATTTACACAACTTTTTCATCATCTCAAATGGAATCTCTGTACCCATTAAACAATAACCCCTCATTCTGCCTATCCGCAGCCTCTGCTACCTCATATAAGTGGAATCTGTATTTGTTTTTTTGTATCTGGCTTATTTTACTTTTGTATTTGGCTTATTTTATTTTATGTTTTAAAGATTTACCCATGTTGTAGCATGTATCAGAATTTAATTCCTTTTGAATGCTCAACACCCTTTTTTTCTTTTCTTTTCTTTTCTTTTTTTTTTGAGATGGAGTCTTGCTCTGTCGCCCAGGCTGGAGTACAGTGGTGCGATCTTGGCTCACTGCAACCTCTGCCTCCCGGGTTCAAGTGGTTCTCCTGCCTCAGCCTCCTGAGTAGCTGGGATTACAGGCACGTCCCACCACACCCAGCTACTTTTTGTATTTTTGGTAGAGATGGGGTTTCACCATGTTGGTCAGGCTGGTCTTGAACTCCTGACCTCGTGATGTGCCTGCCTCGGCTTCTCAAAGCGCTGAGATTAGAGGCGTGAGCCATTGTGCCCGGCCTCCTTTTCTTGTATGTATATACAACATACCACATTTTGTTTCTGCATTTATTGGTCATTGGCCACTTTGATTGTTTCCACCTTTTGGCTGTTGTGAATGGTGCTGCTGTTAACCTGGGTGTGTATACATCTCTCTTTGAGACCCTGCTTTCAGTTCTTTTGGGTATATACCCAGAAGTGGATGATATGATAATTCTGTGGTTTTTGAGGAACTGCCCATTATGGTTTCCACAGTGGCTGCACCATTTTACATTCCCTCTAGCAATGCACCAGGGTTCCAATTTTTCCATATCCTTGCCAACGGCTTGTGATTTTTGGGCCTCATACCATTTAGTTTTTCCCTGTATAGTCATCCTTGAATTGAAAAAATTCTGATATATTAGATTTTTGTTGTTAGTTTGCAGGTATTTCTCATTCTTATTTTCATATGTTTTCAATTGAGAATTAAAGTAAGTACTTCAGTTTTTTTTTTTTTTTTTTCCTGTCTTACTAAGGGTGTCCTTTTACCCGCTAGTTTATGGGGGCATATCAGTATATCTGGGATATACTTTGTCTATATTGATGTGACTTACAAGTCAGTCTACTATGCATAGGTTCTTCTTCATATTTAATGTATAACTTTTAGTTTAAAAGATACGATTTCTCTTTTTTAAATTTATGATGGCATAACATTTTCCACTTGAAACCTTATTATCTAAAGAGAGTTTATACAATTTGATATTTAATTGCTTTTTAATTATTTGACTTTCCTTGATTCATTTCTTTAGAAATGTTGGTATCAGTTTGAGGACAGGGATTATCATGTCTCTTGTACTAATGCATTTTTTTTTCCATTATGCCTGCCACTGTGTTAGGCATATAGTAAGCATAAGAAATACTTGACGAGGGGTTAATGCGTTAATTGTTCCACATTGGAACAATTAAGCACTAGAAACTAGGAGGAATTTATGGTTCATTTACCTTTTGTATTTTATTGTTTATACTTATTCATTGTTAGTTAAGATTGATCATATTAAATACTTACAGATTATTGTATTTTTAAAATGTAGGTGGTTTGTTGATCATTCTTTTGTGCTTTTTAAATTATGTCAGCAGGTATTGGTAATTCTCAGAGAGAGGAATAAATTTTGTTTTGGTTTCTTTTCCTATTTAATGATAATGATAATATTTTAATCTGTTCTCCATGGCTTTTGTACACTGGCCCGTAATATTGGTTGTTTTCTTCTGTTTCGTGTTGTGTAAATGTTTTCAGAAAGAGAAACTGCTCCTGGTGTTGGGAGCCCTTGGAGAAACCATGTGCTACCATAAAAGTGGTATCAGTTTGGAGCAACCAGAGGTGATGCTTGTGCACCACAGAATGGCCTTTATCAGCATTTCCCTGTTTGCAGTTCGACTGCTACAAACGCTTCTCCCTGTTGAAAAGGTAAGGCAGGTAATGCCGCTCATTTGGAATTTACTGACTATTCTAAATAAATGCTCTGTTGTAAATTGCTGCTGCTCTTTTCATGGTGTGAAGGTATTGTGCTTTAGGCCATTTTCAAAATAAGTGTAACAGGTTATATGGGAAATGTAGAAATTGAGAAATGGCTAACATTTTGAACAATTTTGACAAAACATTTGATGGGAAATTATTTTTTAATCTTGCTATTGTTTTTATTGCATATGTTTTACTGCAGTCTGTACATTTGTTTGTTTATTCCTTGTTCATTCAGTGAGTAATTTATTGATTGCCTACAGTGGGCTAGCAGTATTACTTGCTGGATGTAAAACTGAATAGGTTAGAATTATTCCCTGGCCTTATAGAGCTTAATTTTGTAAAAGACAAGACTTGCTGTTATCTGTACATATACATATACGTATATGTATTCGTATAGAAGACATAATCTCTTCCCTCAAGTGATCCCAAAGTTATTAAAGAAATGAGACCAAATAACATATACATCTATATGTTATTGTTTGACTTATTTGGTTTCATTTCTTTAATAACTTTGGGATCACTTGAGGGAAGAGATTATGTCTTCGATACGAATACATTTTTCCATACATATATACATATATAATTGGTACACTTGATGTATCTTTTAATTGATTGGAGGGCATTGAAAGCCTACTGATCTTATCTCTGCAGTGTGTGTCTTGGTTCTTACCATTAATATCAAGAGTAGCCTTTCCTTCTCTTCAGCTAGGTACATGTTGTCAGAGTTCTCTACTTATTCACTATTTCCCAAGTTCCTTGACACGTAGAATACAAACAATAGTTTCCATTACTGCTGCAGAAATTATTTTGTAGTTAGCATATCTTAATGTCCTGGAACCTTTTCTTTTTCTTGTTTTGTCTATTAAAAATAGTGTTAGCAGTGCTTTAGTTTCTAAGTGTTGATGAAGTTGATTTCTGAGGACTCTCCTATTGTATTTGTTGTATTTCATGTAAATTACTGGTGTGTGGTGTATTTTAGTAACTTAAGGGAATTTTTTTTTTTTTTGGTCACATGTGTTTCTCTTTCCTTTCTGCCAGCAACTTAATTGCTTAATATTTTTATTTTAGCACCTGATCAAAAGAATTTCAGAAGATATCTTTGGTGGGATTAAATATCCTGGTTTTTATTTGATTCACCTAGTTAATATTTGGTAACTTGTTTTATGTCTAAACATATTTGTAGTTTGAGTTATGTAATATATGATTTCATACCTTAATATGTCTTTTGAAAGTTGTTTTTTTGATTAACATGTTGCTTTAGGTGTCTTTCACAAAGCTGCTTTTCTGCCCATGATAGCAATAAACTATCTTTTGTGCTAGTCTTTATTCTAGTACTTTTTTTTTTTCCTACTTTTCTATTTTACCTAGCCCTTTCTTTTCTTTGGTGTTTTCAGTTTTTAACTTTTACTCAGAAAATAAGATGTTGATTTAAAAAACATTTTGATGTATGAAGAATAAAAATTCATTCATAATTTCAAGTTAGTTTTGAGGCTTTTTTCTTTTCTGCTTTAAGTCCAATTGACAGCATCCATAAAAGTTATTTATTTTTAATTTTTTGTTTTTGTTTTTGTTTTTGAGACAGTCTCACTCTGTCACCCAGGTTGGAGTGCGGTGGCACTTTTTTGGCTCACTGCAACCTCCACCTTCCAGGTTTAAGTGATTCTCCTTCCTCTGCCTCCCAAGTAGCTGGGTTTACAGGTGTGAGCCACCACACTCGGCTAATTTTTATATTTTTTTAGTAGAGACGGGGTTTCGCCATGTTGGCCAGGCTGATCTTGAACTCCTGACCTCAGGTGATCCACCCACTTCCGCCTCCCAAAGTGCTAGGAGTATTGGCGTGAGCCACTGTACCAGCCTATTGATTCTTTTTTTTAAAAAAACCATTTCTTATTATCTAATATACATTTTCTGTGTAACTAAACACTTCATAAATTTTAATGGCTGCTAATATTTTACCAGAAAGATGTTCTATGATTTCCACAAGGACTCCAGAAATTAAACTTTTACGTTTCTTTTTTTCTTTTTTTGGTATTTTGATAAATAACACTATGTTGAATTGCTACTTACACATGTTTACTTGTATTTTGGATTCTTATATTCCTAATAAGGGCATTACTAGATCAAAGGCTGAATGCTTAAACATGTGCTTTTATTATAAACATAAGTTAAAAATATTATAGTTTCATAGGTTTTATTGTTTTTAGCTAAAGAATGGATAAAAAGAGTAGTACATGGAAAAGATAATTGTGAGAATATATGGCGGGGAAATTATTAAAAAGAAGCACTTTTTGAAAGTGCCCAAGGCTGGTGTCTCTTCTGTGTGTTTGCTAATTGCAGTTTCTGAAATTGTGCACTGTTAGTTTAATCAGAACACTTAAATTTTTAAATTATTTTTAAAATGCTATCAGGAAAAATACATTAAATCTGTAAAGGCTTTTTTTTTTTTTAAACTTTCATATACATTCTGAAAAGTACATAGTTCCGTGCTTTTTCTACTTAAGTGAATGTATCTGTCTTTAAAAAGTGACCAACCTCATAACAGAAAATAGAATGTTACCAGCATTCCAAAGGCCCCTTCCCATCTGTTACCTCTCCCTCTTTCTCTGAGCCACACTGCTTTCTGACTTCAGTCACTGTAGATCAGTTGGCCTGTTTTGAATGTTGTTTAAATGAAATTATAAAGTAGGTACTCTCTCAACTCCTTTTCGAGGTTCATAACTATTGTTGCTTATAGCATTAATTTAACTTTTATTACAAAATATTCCATTGTATGAAGTCTGTTAAAGGTGATTTTAATATGTGTAAATATTTCTTTAAAATATTCTGACTGTATTTTTAAATGTGAGGTTATCTCTGAATTTGAATGTTAGTGGTAAAAGTATCTCAGATCATTCAGATATCAGTATTTTGTGGTGTTCTTGTTACAAAGACAAAGGAGTGGCACACTAAAATGCAGGTGTGGGAGAAATTATGAAAACGAGAAAACTATTCCTTATGCAAAACTCTTTGTTGCCCTTAGTTATTAAACATTTGTGGCTTTGTTTCCTAGAATTCTGTAGAGCATATAGTCCAAACTCTATTTTCTTTTATTTTTGAGACAGAGTCTCGCTCTGTTGCCAGGCTGGAGTTCAGTGGCGTGATCTCCGCTCACTGCAGCCTCCGCCTCCTGGGTTCAAGTGATTCTCCTGCCTCAGCCTCCTGAATAGCTGGGATTGCAGGTGCCCTCCACCACGCCCAGCTAATTTTTGTATTTTTAGTAGAGATGGGGTTTCACCATGTTGGCCAGGATGGTCTCAATCTCTTGACCTTGTGTTCTGCCTGCCTTGGCCTCCCAAAGTGCAGGGATTATAGGCGTAAGCCACCGTGCCTGGCCCAAAGTCCATTTTCTAAGTATCACTTATATACACAATGTGTTATCAGGTGATCCAGGAAAACGATTACATTTTAAATACAGTATTTTGCTTTAAGGAAAATAACATCACTTGTGTTACTTTTAATTTCTAACTTGTATTCACTAGTCATTATGTTTCTGCAGTCCTTTTTTGTTTTGAAGAGTAACAATTTTTCAAGGCATAAGCATTAAGAATGGAAAAATTCCAGTCTCTTAAGACAGGAGTTGAATTTAAAATATGGGTGTCTTCCTTAATATTATATAACTGAAAAATTAGTGGTGCTACAATTGCTTGTTATTAAGTATTGCAAATGATCAATCTATCTATGGGTTGAAGTATTGATGGAAAACTTATCCTATCAGTTGCATCATGTAGTTTATTTTTGATTGTATTTTTTCATCAAGTGCTTATTTGGACCAGAACCAAAATAGAAATCAGTAATTTTACTTAGTGCTAGAATAATGTAAAGTTAATTTTCCATGCTTTTTTTTTTTTTTTAAAGAAAAGGTAGTTATTGTTGTATTGTTTCCATTTTTAAAAACAAATCAATATCTAATTTTTGGTAGTTATTTTAAATATATAACTTGGAACTTTATTAAAACAACTTTGATCATTGTGGGAGATTGTAATTAAGGTATTTGTTTTTAGATGATTATATTTGTTTTGATTAATTGGCTAAGTACTTTAAAGTGAGATCTAAACAAGAATGTTATTTCATTGCTGTTAAATTTCTTCTCTGGTTTATATAAATGTAAGGTTCTGCTGCCCTCTGTCTGTTGCTAGCCCACTAACAATTGAAGTAGAATTTGGACTCTGCCTTTAAAGTGGTTTTTTTGAACTGCCACTGACCAAATAGGTAATTTGAATGTTGGAAAATAAATATGAATCTATGTAGAGATTTCCTAAGTTTGACAAAATGTCCTGTTTTGAAACTGATACTTGTTGATTTTAAATGATTTTGGAGAATGCTCATGTATAGGTTAAAATGATACGTTGGTAATCTTGTGACAAATATTGTGGTTGGTAAAACAAATGAAGGTAATTTCGTTTGGGGAAACATCTGGGAAGTAAGAGGTAAAAGTACTAGCTCTGTTCTGGAAGCAGAAGCACAGAGCATCCTAGGAACTGCTGTTACTCTTCCTTAGCTACTGATGCTCACTGAGGGTAAGGAAGAACGCCATTCTCCTGCCTCAGCCTCCCGAGTAGCTGGGACTACAGGCACCCGCCACCTCACCCGGCTAGTTTTTTGTATTTTTTAGTAGAGACGGGGTTTCACCGGGTTAGCCAGGATGGTCTCGATCTCCTGACCTTGTGATCCGCCTGTCTCGGCCTCCCAAAGTGCTGGGATTACAGGCTTGAGCCACCGCACCCGGCCTAACACAAGGTCTTTAGCTTTTCAGGGAGGTGTATAAAAAGATCTAATGACTTGGTAAAGCCAGTTGAGTGACTGAGAGCAGTGCTTTTCAAACGGTAATGTGCAAACATATCACTTAGAGTTATTCTTAATCACATCTTGCATATTCTGATTCATCAGGTAAAGGGTAGGGCCTGAGAGCTGGCATTTCTAACAAACTCATAGAACTATGCCATGGCTGCTGAGTGGCTAGGTGTAGAGGAAACATTTATAGCCCCTCCTCCCAATGTACATGAGATGATGTTGCTGATTATTTTTTATCTAATGGGGTGGTGGATTTAAATCGAAACATCTTCACTTTTAGTTCCAATGCCATGTGACTAATGCTTATATATGCAGTACAGCTATCTTAGATCGGGGGTGTAAATTGTGATTAGTCCATTGGGCCATGTAAGGATTAGCTGATGACATTAGCATGGGGCTTTGAGTTGTTGAGATAGCAAGAGTTTTAAATACGAGTATGCAGGGTGAAATGTTGGAATTCCTTTGTGGTGAAGCGAGAAAAGGAAATTAATATTTATTGAGTGCTACATGCCATATACTCTGCTTAATGCTTGTTTAATTCTCACAGCAGCTATTATTTTTCTGACTAGAGTCAGAACTCTCTTAAACTAGAATGCGGTGCCTTTAGAGTTAGATCCACTAGGATTTACTCTCTTAGCACAGTACCCAACTCACTAAATCGCCTTTGCTAATTTCTCCTCATCTTCCTAACTCTTTAGGAGTAGAACCCTGGGACTGACTGTAGCCCTCAAGAAATACATCCCATTTGTGATTATTAAATGCCATCTGTTTGTTGATGCCTTCCAAATTTATACTTCCAGAGCAGACATATAACCTGAACTCTGAACTTGTCTATACCCAGTGTCCTTTTTGATGTCTTCACTTGGATGACAATAAATGTCTCCAACTGAACATGTCCCAAACTTCATTCTTTGCTTCCCCTTCCAAATATGTTCTTCCTATAGTCTTGCCTGTCTCAGTAAATGGCAACTTCGTTGTGCAAGTTGATCGTTGGATCAGGCAAAAACCTTACGAGTCAGCCTTGATTCCTTTCTTTTGCTCATATGTAGATATAATCCCTGAGCAAAATTTGTCATTTCTCCCTTGAATACCTATACAGAATCTGAAATACCTGAGTTAAGCCCACCATTCTGTCGTGCCTGGATTGCTGCAGTAAAGTCCTCTGTCTCTTAGCTTCCACTTTTGCACATTATCATCTGCTCTCTACAGACCAATTTTGATACTTGTTTAAAATGTTCCAGTGGCTTCCAGCAGAGGACAAGTCCTTCTGATGACCCAAAGCCTTAACTCATCTGGCCCACCTCTCCTTTCTGACTCCATCCCTCAGAACCAGCTACACTGGCTTCCTTGCTACCAAATATAGCTTTTGTAATTGCTCTTCCCTCTTCTATAAATGCTTTCCCTCAGATAGTCACGTGGCTCCTGACCCTTCCAGGGCTCTACTTAAATGTCACCTTATTAGCGAGGCCTTCCCCTACTACTTTGGAGAAGTAGCGTTTCCCTGCCTCCACTCCACATTACTTCTCTGTTCCTCTCCATCTTTCCCATCCTGTTTTAAAACACTTCTTAGCCACACCTAACATCTTAGGAAGTTTATTGATTTACGCTCTACTTTCTTCAGTGGGATGTGAGCTTCATGCAGGCGAAGGTTTTATTTTGCTCTCTGCTGGGTTCCCAGGACTGGAGAGGTGCCTGGTGTATAGTAGAGGAACACAGTAAGGCCCAGTTAATATTCGCTGAGTGAGTGAGTCATAGGTGAGCAGGTAACTGAGTTTCTCTTTTTCCTCCTCCCCCCACCCCAAAAAAGGATAGTTCTTCACAGAATAATGAAATTTCTCTTTACTTTCTAATAGCTGCTGTTTTACTAATCTGGAGGTTTGTCGTGTCTGTGTAATCTAAAATTTTGATTTTTGTCGTTTCTGATCTTCATTTAGCAACTATATTCATTTAAAGGTATTATCGTTTAGCTGATTCAGCTTTTAGACTTTCAGGTAGTTAATGATTATCCTTGAAATAGGTTATCCATGAAATAAATCACGACCAAACCCACTTTTGTAAAGGCAGCATTTCAACCGTAATACTGAGCCTTGTCAAGAGATTTTCTCTGGACATCGAATTTTTAGTCCTTTTTATTTCTTTAATTTATATTTATAATCCTGTCACAAAACTAGAACCATTTTTTAAAAAACCATAGTTCTTTCAGTTTTAAATCTATTGATTTATAATATGTATAATATTTCATTTGGGCAAATTGATTTTATACTAATTAAGGGGCTATCTTCTGTGAATATTTTAGAACTATTTAAAATATTATATTGAATTTCCGCTATCCCCTCTAAAAGACAAAACCAAAGAAAAAAATCCATTTCTGTTCAAATCAATCTGTAGCTATACTTGATTTCATGTTATTAATATGTCATTAATAAGCTCTGTCATGTTCAGCTATGGGATGCTGAACATCTTCAGTTTAATGGGTTATTGTGGAGATTTGTGTACATGTACAGAAAATACTTAGAGAAAAAGGCCTCATGCCTTAGTTCAATAGCAGAGGTATATACAAGGTGTAGGGCTCAGGGAGAGAAGAAGTTGGTTTGGGGAAGAAGATAGTTAGTATCCTGGTCTTTGAGGAAGAGTTGGTATTTGGACTTCAGACATTTTGTATTGAGCAAAGACAAAGAGGTAGAGGTAAATGATGTGTTGGGAAATGGGATTTTCTTTGGAAAAAGCTTGAGTTTTTTGACAAAGAATTGCAAAAAAAGGAAGCTGGGTTAGATTAAGACTATAACCCACCATGTTTCTCTAAAATAAGTTTTTTTTAAAACAAAGTTTTAATTTGTTTTTTTTTAATTCATCAAGGCAAGCGAGTTTTTACCAGAGCCTATGTCAACAGCATTATTTCTCCTTTCTTTGGACATGCCTGTTTCTTTGGAATATCCAAATATTCATGAAGCTGTTGTGGCCTATTTGGAACAGCTGAATTCTGAAAACTACAGTATTTATAAACGAACTGCAGAGGCTGTTTATTCAATTGAATGCACCTGTAACTTCCTGTCTGATATTGAGAAGGAGGTAAAAATTTTGATTTTGATTAATATCTCTTTCAAATCCCTTTGACATATTTAGAAAATTTAATCTATACTTTTCAAATTGATGGACATATAATTGAATTGTCACAGGAGGGATACATTATTCCTGAGTGGGTCAGTTATAAATAACCTGTTATTTAACGGGTTAAAGTAAGGATATGATTTGTATAGAAGTAAAACAAAGACTTTAATTAATGATGTATATTCCTAATATCAGTGATTTGCAAAAAAGCAGTGGTTATTACAAATGTCTTGATGTTTAATATTAAGTACCTCTATGAAGTGACTTACTGATATGAAATGAATGACAGTTGATGTAACTAGAATTATAAGGGCTATTTTAGTGCTTGTAGACATGTTTTCGCCTTAATATTTTATAGATACTTATATATAAAGCCTGATTTTTAAAAAATATTAAGTACAGTCATGAACTACATTGTTTATAATGTGTTAGGATGACTTTACGGCAGTGTTACAGCAATAATTATGTGTCAGTATCCCTTTTAAAATTACTGTTAGAATATTAGTATGTTATCAATGAAAGGGTTAATGGCTCTTAGAGGCAGACATTGATACAATAGTTGTTTCTTGTTTGAAAATAAGGACATGGATCCTGAAGATCTTGAGGAATTAGGGATAAAATTCTTATTCATTTTGGCGCCTACAGTAGAATGTATCTGAACCTATTTATTTTCTTTGAAATTTTTAAAATTTTTATTTTGACAGCCTCCTCTGTTGCCTAGGCTACAGTCTTGATCTCTTGGGCTCCAGCAATCCATCTGCCTCAGCCTCCCAAGCAGCTAGTACTATAGGCATATGCTACCACACCTGGCTAATTTTTAAACTGTTTTATAGAGATGAGGTCTCATTGTGTTGCCCAGGCTGGTCTTGAACTCCTGGCCTCAAGCCGTTCTCCTACCTTGTTCTCCCAAAATTCTAGGATTAAAGGTGTTAACCACTGTGCCTGGCCTTGAACCTGATATTTATAATTTTTCTTATTTACTGCTATAGTTTATTTTTTTTTCTTTTCCTTTTGCCACATGTTAGTACCCCTGGCTTCTTGTTATGAATTGTGTCTTTAAGTTGAAGTATTTCTGTGGCTTTTTTTTTTTTTTTTTTGAGACGGAGTCTCACTCTGTTTCCCAGGCTGGAGTGCAGTAGTGCAGTCTTGGCTCACTGCAACCTCCGCCTCCCACCTGAGCCTCCCAAGTAGCTGGGATTACAGGCGCGTGCCACCACAACCAGCTGATTTTTTGTATTTTTAGTAGAGACGGGGTTTCGCCATGTTGGCCAGGCTAGTCTTGAACTCCTGATCTGACTCAAGTGATCTGCCCGCCTCGGCCTCCCCAGGTGCTGGGACTACAGGTGTGAGCCAGTGTGTCTGGCCTCTGTGGCATTTTGCATGGTCAGTTAATCACACGTGTTGAATGTCCTGTATGTTCCTAGTGGTCAGGCTGTTACAAGAGGCAGGTTTATAATAAATACATTAGCCCTACTTTTATTAGGGGAGGTAGAGCTACAAAGAAGTAATCAACGAACCAGGCAGTTTGATTGTAACTTTAAGCTTACTCAGAGTTAAATAATAGAAAGTCTCATGTAGCATTTAGCTAGGGAATTTTCGTACATTTCTCCACCTAGGCTGACATTTTTAGGTTGCTTGATGAGCAAGTGGACATAAACAGATGTAAACAATCTCATGGTCTCGGAATGGTCTAGTTTCTTGAAGCTGCTTAGTTAGCTGTTGAGAATTTTATTGCACATGAACTTGACATTTATTGTTCCATTCTGCTTCTTTTTTAGGGAGAAAAGAATCTCTTAGAATTAGTGGAGCTGGCAGACCAAGCCTTGCGTAGCTTTTCCTATCATCAGCATTTCTCCCTAATAAAGGAAATCATCAGCATTTGTTCAAAGATGTAATATTTTCTTTCTTAATGTGATTATATTATTATTGGACGCTTAGGGTGTGCGTAAACTTAGAAACAGTGAAAGTGAAGCTGACCTTATGTCTTTGTTGTTATTATTTTTTAGTTTAATTGCTTTTATACGTGTCTGACTTTTAAAGGGTATATGTACAGCTGCATTAGGAGACTTAACTGTTATTTTCAAGATTAACTTCAAAAATGTCATAGCCGCAATCAAAATGAATGATCTTTGGATTTTTATACATTTGTTTTTGCTATCCATCCAGACTATTCACACACATTGTTCATTTATCTTTAAAGTTTTAATTAATAATTTGAGAGTTTTGTAACTTTTATTACTTTGTACTTTTTTCTTGTGTGGATTTTTAGAAAACACTGTGTATTGGTTAATTTATTTTGAGGACATCAGCAAATTTCTATTTAGAACTTAGTGTCTTTATTGCTTTTGGAAAGAATAAATTCTGTGATGTGATAAACATCAACTGAGTAGGGGATTTTAAAGACATTTTGGGTTTTCAAAAATAGTCTTAAAAACAGAATCTCCTCTGCCCTGAAACAAATAAGTGCTTAGGTGGTAAGTACTTGCTAATATCAGTTATTTTTAATAAGATCTCAGTTTGAGGAATTGGAGTAGGAAGAAATCCCTTCCAGTTAGCTTTGCAGTCTTTTGCTTAGTAACTGACTTGCCTCAGATGTCTTGGTGGTTTTACTTTTTCACCAGCTGGAAATCTGCGCAGGCCAGTCCATTACTACAAGGAGAAAGTCAGAAGGCGCTTCTCCATATGTTGTCTCACCCGTTGCCACAAGTGAAAGCCGAAACTTACCACTGCTGTCTGGAAATCACGAAGGTGAGGTTTTGTTTTTTGTGTGTTTTGTTTTTGAGAACAAACAGTAGACTCTCTTGTTATGCCTTCAAACTTAAATTACTTGACCTGTTGTATGAGATATAAGAACTATATCCCATAAAAATAGATGATAATTACTAGTCAATTCTGGAAAATTTGTACTATTACATTCTCTTAACTTAGTAAGTCCAGCAATTTGAATTGCTTTATTTGAAGTTTTATTAAGAATTACATTTATGCTGTATTAGTGATGGAAAAATTATAAGGAAAATTGATTTCCAGGTATTCAAAAGTGATTTCTACACCCAGGAAACCTTGTAGGTTGTTATTGCCTAGATTTTATGGTTTTATTTCTGTTTTCTTGATGTTATTTTTTTACTTTTCTTTTCTTTTGAAACATTTATTTTTCTGTCTTCTTAAATGATAAAATATTTAGGCATAGAATATTAAATATTTCAATATTGAAAAGAACACTGTACATAGGGCAGTATTTAAAAGTGTATGTATTCCTATGTACTCTTGAAGGTGTCCTTTTGTATTTAACACTCTTGTAAGTACTGTTTGGTTATAATAAGTTATAATAAGTATTTATAAAAATTTATTTATAAATTTATTTTATAAAAATTTATAAAGCATTTTGCCATTTTTACTTCTGATTCATTTTTATTCAAAGAAAAATACCAGTTATAGAGGAAGCTTCTTTGCTTTCTCTTCTCCCACCAACATAGCCTAGCCACTCTTACACAGCTGGTGTATCTTCTTCCCATCCAGTTGGTGTACATTATTTATAAAGCTGTATCTTTAGTAAATAATAGGGAGAATTTTATATACAGCATGATTAGCATATATAGCAGGATTTGAGATTTACCTAGTTCATTCACCTTAATTGCTATTAAGTTTGAATATGCTTCCTTTTATTAATTGATAAATATTTAGGTTCAGTCCCCTTTTAATTGAAGTAAGTTTTTCAATATTTTCAGTGACAGTCTGTGACTGTGTACATATGTTTGCAAATGTCATGATTTCACTTTATTTTGAGTAGTAATTTGACTGCATATAAAATACAGGTTGACTGCTAGTTTTTATTAGTACTTTGCCAGTATTGCTTAATTCTTATTAGGCTTCTATCATTGTTGAGAAGTGTGATATCAGTTAATTATAATTTGTTTTAATTTTTTTCCTCTAGTTTGTTTTAAAATATTTTCCTTTTCTATGGTGCCCTGCGGTTTCGTTAAAATGTGTCTCCATGCATACATGATTTTCCATTTATCTTGCTTAGGACTTTTTGCTTTGAACACTCAATCTGCCTTTACTTCTGTATAATTCTTGGTCATGCTTATTTTGAATATTGCTTTTCTCTTTATCCTTGCTGTTTTCTCCAAGTGGAACTCTTTTTAGACCTGTGTTAGACCTTCTTAGTTTACCCTTTGTGTCTTTTAAGCCTTCTTTCATATTTTCCATATCTTTTCAGGTTTTATTTGGGTAGAATTTCTCAGTGGTTTCCTTTCAGAACACTAATTCTTTCCTCAGCTTTGTCTAATTTCCTTTTTTTTGATGGTGAGATATATAACGTAAAATTTATTTTAGGCCAGGTGTGGTGGCTCATGCCAGTAATCCCAGCATTTGGGAAGGCCAAGGCAGGAGGATCACTGGAGCCCAGGAGTTTGAGACCAGCCTAGGCAACATAGGGAAATCCCATCTCTACAAAAAAAAAAAAAAAAGGAGCTGGGCATGGTGGCATGTGCCTGTAGTCCCAACTACTTGGGAGGCTGAGGCAGGAGGATTGCTTGAGCCTGGGAGGTCGAGGTTACAGTAAGTTGTGATCATGCCACTGCACTCCAGCCTAGGCAACAGGGTGAGACTTCATTTCTGGAAAAAAAAAAGAAAAAAAAAAAACAATTTACCATTTTAACTATGTTTAAGTGTACAATTCAGTGGCATAAGTACATTCATATTGTTGTACCATCATCACCATTACCCATCTCCCAAAGTGAAACTTTATAGTCATTAAACAGTAATTCCTCATTTTCCCCTTCTCCCAGCTCCTGACAGCCACCTTTCTACTTTCTGTCTCTATGAATTTGGCGTCCCTGGGCAACTCATATAAGTGGAATCATACAGCGTTTGTCTTTTTGTTACTGGCTTATTTCACTTAATATAATGTTCTCAAAGCTCATCCATTTTGTAACATATATCAACATTTCATTCCTTTTTAAAAATAATAATCTAATGTCTGTATAATTGAACACCCCAATTCTGGAAATCCAAAATCCAAAAGGCTCTGCAATCTGACACTTTTTGAGTGCTGAAATGTCACTTAAAGGAAATGCACATTGGAGCATTTCCGGTTCTGAATTTTCAGATTAGGGATGCTCAACTGGAAATTATAATGCAGATATTAAGAAATCCAAATAATTTCAAAATCTGAAAGACGTCTCGTCCCAAGCACTTCAGATAAGGACACTCATCCTATACTACATTTTGTTTATCCATTCATCCATTGATGGGCATTTGGGTTGTTTCCATCTTTTTGTAATTGTGTATATACCCAGGTGGAATTGGTAGATCACATGGTAATTCTGTATTTAATTTTTGAGGAATTGCCATACTGTTGTCCACAGTGGCTGTACTATTTTATGTTCCCACCAGCAGTGTCCAAGGATTCCAGTTTCTCTGCATCCTTGGCTATACTTATTTTCTGGATTTTTTTTTTTTTTTGAGATGGAGTTTCGCTCTGTCACCAGGCTGGAGTGCAGTGGCATGATCTTGGCTCACTGCAACCTCCGCCTCCCTGGTTCAAGTGATTCCCCTGCCTCAGCCTCCCGAGTAGCTGGGACTACAGGTGTGCATCACCATGCCCAGCTAATTTTTGTATTTTTAGTAGAGACGGGGTTTTACCATGTTAGCTAGGATGGTCTTGATCTCTTGACCTCATGATCTGCCTGCCTCGGCCTCCCAAAGTGCTAGGATTACAAATGTGAGCCACTGCACCCGGCCTTTTTTTTTTTTTTTTAATAGTAACCATCCTAATGGGTGCAAAGTCATTTCCCGTCATAGTTTTTTAAAAAATATATTTATCAAGTTTTGATTATCACTTATGCGGTTTTTCATGTCTATACCTTTTCTTTGCTTTCTTTAATTGACTTGTTCTTTTTTCATGTAATCTTTCATTAGTTTCTGTTTTTTTTTTTTTTTCTTTTCAACTTTTATTTTAGGGTTGGGGGTACACGTGCAGGTTTGTTACATGGGTAAATTGTGTGCTGCTGGGGTTTGGTGTACAAGTGATTTTGTTAGCCAGGTAGCGAGCATAGTACCCAATAGGTAGTTTTTTGATTCTCACCCTGTGATATGGTTTGTCTTTGTGTCCCAACCCAAATCTCATCTTGAATTGTAATTCTATAATCCCCACGTGTCGTGGGAGGGACCCAGTGGGAGGAGGTAATTAGAATCATGGGGGCAGTTCCCCCTTCCTGTTCTCCTAACAGTGAGTGAGTTCTTATGAGATCTGATGGTTTTATAAGCATCTGGCCTTGCCTCTGCTGGCATTCAGTCTCTCCCCTGCCGCCCTGTGAAGAGGTACCTTCTGCCATGATTGTTTCCTGAGGCTTCCTCAGCCGTGCAGAACTGTGAGTCAATTAAACTTCTTTCCTTATGTATTACCTAGTCTCGGATATGTCCTTATAGCAGTGTGAGAATAGACTAATACATTCTCTTCCCACCTTCCCTTGTCAAGTAGGCCCCAGTGTCTCTTGTTCCCTTCTTTGTATCCATGTGTATACGCAGTGTTTGTTCCCACTTCTAAGTGAGAATATGCCATATTTGGTTTTCCTGTGTTAATTCACTTAGGATAATGACCTCTGGCTGCATCCATGTTGCTGCAAAAGACATTATTTTATTCTTTTTTATGGCTGAATAGTATTCCATGATGTATATGTACCATAGTTTCTTTATCCAATCCACTGTTAATGGGCATCTAGGTTGATCCCATGTCTTTGCTATTGTGAATAGTGCTGCAGTGAATATCTGGGTTCATGTGTCTTTCTGGTAGAATAATTTACATTCTTTTGGGTCTATACCCAGTAAGGGATTGCTAGGTCAAGTGGTAGTTCTATTTTAAGTTCTTTGAGACATCGCCAAACTGCTTTTCACAGTGACTGAATTAATTTACATTCCCACAAGCGATGTATAGGGCTTGGAGTACTGTGTTCCCTTTTCTCTCCAACCTTGCCAACACCTGCTATTCTTTCACTTTTTAATAGCCATTCTGACTGGTGTGAGATGATATCTCATTGTGGCTTTGATTTGAATTTTTCTAATGATTAGTGATACTGAGCATTTTTTTCATGTGCTTGTTGACCGTGTGTATGTGTTCTTTTGAGAAGTGTCCGTTTATGTCCTTTGCCCATTCGTAATGGGGTTGTTTTTTACTTGTTGATTTAAATTCCTTGTAGATTCTGGATATTAGACCTTTGTCACATGCATAGTTTGCAAATATTTTCTCCCATTCTGTAGGCTTTTTACTTAGTTGTTGGTTTCTTTTACTGTGCAGAAGCTTTTTAGTTTCATTAGGTCCCACTTATCTATTTCTGTTTTTGTTACAATTGTTTTTTTTGGAGACTTCATCATGAAATTTTTTCCAAGGCCTATGTCCAGAATGGTATTTCCTAGGTATTTTTCTAGGTTTTTATAATTTTAAGTCTTACATTTAAGTCTTTAATCCATTTCGAGTTGATTTTTATATATAGTGAAAGGAAGGGGGTCCAGTTTCAATCTTTTGAATATGCCTAACCAGTTATTCCAGCACTGTTTACTGAGTAGGGAGTTATTTCTCCATTGTTTGTTATTGTTGTCTTTTCAAAGATCAGATGGTTGTAGGTGTGTGGCTGTATTTTTGTGTTCTCTAACCTGTTCTAGTGGTCTGTGTATCTGTTTTTGTACCAGTTTTGGTACCAGTTTTGTACTGTTTTGGTTACTGTAGCCTTGTAGTATAGTTTGAAGTCAGG